ATAGATAGATAGATAGATAGATAGATAGATAGATAGAAATCAGAGATAGATAGATAGATAGATAGATAGATAGATAGATGAATAGATAGATAGATAGATAGATCAGAGATAGATAGATAGATAGATAGATAGATCAGAGCAGGTATAGATAGATAGATAGATAGATAGATAGATAGATAGATAGATAGAATGATGATTAGATCAGAGCAGGCATAGATGAATAGATAGATAGATAAAGATGAATGATAGATAGATAGATAGATAGATCAGGCAGACATGATATGAATAGATAGATAGATAGATATAGATAGATAGATAGATAGATAGATAGATAGATAGATAGATAGATAGATAGATAGATAGATAGATGAATAGATAGATAGATAGATAGATAGATAGATAGATGAGAGCAGGCTTAGATAGATAGATAGATAGATAGATAGATAGATAGATAGATAGATAGATAGATAGATCAGAGCATGAATAGATAGATAGATAGATAGATAGATAGATATGAGATAGATCAGAGAGGCTTAGATAGATAGATAGATAGATAGATAGATGAATAGATAGATAGATAGAGCAGGCATGAATAGATAGATAGATAGATGATAGATAGATAGATAGAGATAGATAGCAGGCATAGATAGATAGATAGATAGATAGATAGATGGATAGATAGATCAGAGCAGGCATAGATAGATAGATAGATAGATAGATAGATAGATGATAGATAGATAGAGCAGGCATAGATAGATAGATAGAGATAGAGATAGATAGATAGATAGATAGATAGATAGATCAGAGCAGGCATAGATAGATAGATAGATAGATAGATAGATAGATAGATAGATCAGAGCAGGCATAGATAGATAGATAGATAGATAGATAGATAGATAGATAGATAGATAGATCAGAGCAGGCATAGATAGATAGATAGATAGATAGATAGATAGATAGATAGATAGATAGATAGATAGATCAGAGCAGGCATAGATAGATAGATAGATAGATAGATAGATAGATAGATAGATAGATAGATAGATAGATAGATAGATAGATAGATAGATAGATAGATAGATAGATAGATCAGAGCAGGCATAGATAGATAGATAGAAGATAGATAGATAGATAGAAAGCAGGCATAGATAGATAGATAGATAGATAGATAGATTAGATAGATAGATAGATAGATAGATAGATCTATTTTAAAAGAGGGGAGAAAGATGCTTATTTCTGTTCTATTTTATTTTCTTGTCTTTCAATTTTGCTTGTATAATGTCATGCATTCCATGGTACACATTTCATCAGCTGAAATCAGTTATAATGTCAGGGAAAAGGAAAGTCTTTGTCGCTGTTTTATTAAATGACTCTTAAAGGAAATGATGCTAGTGATCACTTTTCGATAGACCATATCATGACTGGTTGGTATATCAAGTGACACATCTCTAGATGATTCCTGTCAATGCTTCTTGATGCTGATAATCAACATGTACTCAGAAAGTAAACAAATATAGCAATTATAGATATTCATATGATTCAGCTTAAAATATGTTGTCAACACGAAATTCAACATATTATCAATAAATATCTATAATAGTATAGTTATTGATATTTATTTCTTAATTTCAGATTTGTAAAAGATTGTCCTGGGTCGTGAGAAATGCCTAACGTGAAAAGAGAAACAAGATAATTTTATTAAGTGAGGAGGGCACAACAACGCAAATTGCAAAACCGTTGAACAGAGATTACTGAATAATCAAAACGGAAAGTAAAAACATTGGAAATGACAAGGAACAAATCTGATGTTAAGAAAGTAACAAAAATTGATTTGAAAAAATATATTAATAGGCAAGAAAATCGGATTGACAAGGATTAACAAGGATTGACAAGGATTTTAAGATCGTGTCGCGAATGTAAGAAGACATGAATGGCGCAGAAATGGCTAAAAACATGAAAGTAACCACACTGTCAACTTTAAGTAAATATCACAATGTAAAACCTGTTAATTGGGCGAAGCACCTTAAAAATAATTTCTCAGCAGTAATGGCTGAATTAGACGTTGGTCCTTTCAGAAACATAGTCAACATAATTGATTAGTACAGGTCATAGCCAAAAGTCAAGGAATATATTCATGTTCCTTTACATTCTACAAAGGTGACTATTGTCAATTATGTCAGAAACAGTTTCAAAGACACCGGTCTAATGAAATGAGCTTCAGTCTCTCTAGATACTAGTCCACTAGAAACCTTCTGATCTACCATAAAAAAGTCATGTATATGAGAATAAAAAGTAATATTCTAGAAAAACCTGTGGAAATCAAAAGAAACTGATGCATGTGATATTAAAGTTCGAGCATCAAGAAAATTATCAGAATCAGTATCTAAAAGACTGATTACCGTTATAAAATATCAAAGGAATTCACGTTAACATATAAAATAATAAAATCATTATTTATTGTAGCATATGTGATATTGTGTCAATAAATTATCTTTATATGGTTATTTCCGTTTTAACATTTGACTTTATAACAAAAAATTTTCTCACTTTGCATAATAAAAGCTGAAACTCAAAACAATTATTGTCAATATTACCAAACAAGGAAGCGTTATCAAACAAAGAAACACACGCCATATATTTGCACACAAACTATTGAGACGGACGTCAAGTCCGTTCAAACAATTAACAGTCATGCAAAGATTGTACTCCAATGGTCAGGCTGAACGTTTTGTTGATACATTAAAAAGGGCGTTAGATTGGTTTGTTGTGTTTTACGGTATATCAACCTCATTGGGTCATTTAATGCCGACAACTTTTTTTCCTGGTAATATTTTGTTTTATTAAAAATCTATTTCTGGTAATATTTTTTCCTCAGAAATGTATAGCTGGTAATATCATATTAAAACATGTATTGCTGGTAATATTTTCTTTCAAAAATATATTGCTGGTAATATTTTTTTTTCTTTAAAAATTTATTTCTGGTAACAATTCTTTTACAAAGTATCTCTGGTATTAAAACCCATTTTTACACTTTTATAATAGTTTTTACGTCAGTTTCGAGGTTAACTATTTGTCCAAAGCTGGGACCCTAACAGGTGCTACCACCTCGGGCCAGGGTAGATCTGGGAACACCAGCAATTAAGAGGTGGTTCCACGCTCCTCAAAACCTCCTGATCAGAGGCCTTGCTATTGGATGTAGTTTATCGTCTTACCCAGGACGCGGATGTAGTTTATCGTCTTACCCAGGACGCGGATGTAGTTTAACGTCATACCCAGGACACGGGTGTAGTTTAACGTCATACCCAGGACGTGGCGTTAGAGAAATCAAAAGGGGGGGGGGAACTGTAATCGACATCTTCTGATGCCTTGATATTGATTCCCGTCCTTCTCTTTATCCTTTCCCCAAACACCCCTCTTTACTCTTGCTCTCACTCTCTGTAACCCCGTGCGTGCTAGTGGCACTCCCGCCTTGCTGGGGTGATATACTTAAAAAACATTTGTTCTTTACAGTGTGAACCCGCGAATATTTGTAACCCCCTCTTCTAAAAGTGCTTATAAGTACCTATTTTGATTGTTAAAACCCCATATGCCTTAAGCTTTCATCCTATATACTTTGTATTGGTGACCATACACTTAGCGTAAATTTTCTTTCATATATACAATAACCGTTTTTAATTACACATAGATCGATACAACCATTTAAAATACTCTATAAAATATATGTAACAAGACATAAAATATAAAGTTTAAAAGATTTTCTAAAACCAGAACTGTGATTATGTCCCCAGACTTAGCATTAGCCACTTTTAAACCTCATCCCCTAACAAAGAACAAAGCCCATGCACTGCGCATGTTTTTTACGTTTGTTTTTTACAATGAAATGTACAATTCTGCTAATTTTTACCATAAATATGGACTGTTATATGTTTTAATTCACTTAAATAATAGGAAAATAATACAAGAATATTTTGAATATGCTCTATCGAAAAAAAATACGCGAATCGAGGGAGCTCTCAGCGAATAATTTGTACATATGTTCTTGAGAGAAAAATACGCGAATATTGAGGGTTTCTGCGAATCCGTGAATGTGTGAAAACGCGGATGCTGAAACGGGGATAATCAGGGGCTCACTATACTTCTATTTCCAGTCGATCTTTTAAATGTTCTTCTACAGTGTCTTGTACTTGAATTTCTCATTTTTATTCATTCTCTTCAATGAATATAATAGAATGCCTATATTGTCTATTGTCTTAATTGATTTCATCTCACATCTCCTACAACTGAGGCTTCTGTTATATAACTGGGGATCAGTATCTATTTCAAAGCTCAAATATTGTAACCATTAACACTTATATTTTCAGCTTTATAAGGATGTCCTTTGTTTAGTTACATAGTCAGAAACTTCCTGTTATTTTGTTTTTAATGGACGTTTTAACTAATATTTTTCTCTGCCTCACTTACAAAGTCTGAAAGATTTTGTTGTTTTTAGAAAGAATTTTAAGCTTTATAAAAATATATTATGCAAAGATTTATAAAACATTAACATTTGATATTGGCAACATCACCCGGTAAAATTTGATCATGATAAAAATCAAAGTAAAGAAAATAAATTTTTCTTTTTCATTCAATTTCTTTAACTCTCACGATTATTCAGATCTTTTCTTTTCGACTTCATAACTCGACAACTCATGTATTTGCAGGCCTCTTCTCACACAAAATATGCAATAGAAAATATACATTGACCTAACATGGTTTGGGCAGACACCAAGAATCGCAAATTCTTTTTTTCTGTGTTCCAGATATGATACAACTTTGATATCTTTTTTTTTTTGTCTTTTACAATGCAATTACCTCGAAACGCATTTGTTTGGCGCGCAATTCTTTCTGTGCAAGTCTCACATTTAGCCTGGAAGCATCAATAAAAAAAAAGTACGTACCAAACCATTTTACAGAGCCACGTTTCTGTGATAATATTCTCAACCTAGAATCTGCCAGTGGGGATGGCAAAGGAAGAGGAGGTATATTATGTAAGTTTCGTTCAGTGCTTCTTATTCACTGTTTGCAAGCACGACGCCGGTGAAGTTCTTCTCTTGCCTTGCAGCTTTATAGGTAAAGTAATGTTTTTTAAAAAAAAAACCTTGTTATGTAATATTCCAGAAATATCAAAAACACAAAAAATAGGCTACTTTTTTTTATCGAGTTAAAGATCAAGTCTTTCTGTAGATGAAACGCTTGTCTTACTTCGTGCCGTAAAATTCATGTCTATCCTATTTTTAGTTAATCCTTTTGTAGTATTTTAAAGGAATTTCGACCTTTCAAAAAGCTCTAAAACTGTTTCTTAGTGCTATTGAAGTTTTATATTCCTACTTCTTTCAAATTGAGTAAGATTCTGCAATTTCAACGATTATCTGAGATGTCTCCAATGAGATTAAAATTGAATTTACTTTCCTCTTTCCCAAACAACTTCTAGTTTATATACTTATCATTTATCATTGTTATTTATTTATTTATTTTGGTGTGCAGGTGGTGTAATTGTTAGCAGCTCAAATCGAGAAATCGGTGCACAATGTTCGAATTTCGGTCGAGTTCGTTTACAAGTAACCTTGGGAAAGATTAGATCCCACACACACCCTCCGTCAGCTATGGTTTAATGTCTATGCAGACTGTGCTCTCTAGCCGCGGTTGGCAACCGGACTAGGAGAAAGAAAAAGTCATTTTTTCCGTTCATATCTTTCTCTTGATGTGTTGCCTGTAACATTTAATGGACATTTTACTTTTGAAATAACAGCCGATAATTTATTATCCTCTTTTGTTCTATTTTTCTTTAGCTAGAGAACAGTAACTTTATTCATGCGATGCACAATATCTTTAAATTAACCCTAAGTATCTTAGTAATATGTGCTATTTTATGCATAGTGGTCCTGTAAGGCTAACATCAAACAAATTGATAAAATGGCTACATGCAATTTCAGAACAATTTAAGAACTCCATCTATCTCGAGTACCATAACATCCCGTTTGAGTGAGAGTTAAAACGGGTATATAAACATTTCAATGATCTGTACCGGGTGGAATGTAATTTTACATCTTATGGATAGAAATGATATTACAATGTGACTAAAATCTAGATCGTTTGCCTCAACTTGCTTATGCATTGAATAATTAATAAAGCCGCGTTTACTCACATCTTCTGCCTTGCTTGAAGTTCTACAACTGATATCGAATTTAATTGATTCGGTAATTGATTTTTACGCTAACTGATAACACATAAACCATGTTTATAAGTACTGAAATTAAGGTATACATGGGACTTCATCGATCATCAGGTAGCTAATTTAATGCTAGTTTTACCTTAGTACATCTTGTAACGTACGGTGGCCGTTAATAATTAAGTATAACTCAAGACTTCAATGTTAAGATAAAACAGTATTTAATTACAACCGCAAATAAATACTTAACAAGAACTAAGACGTAAAAGTCAAGCAAAGATAATTAATAATGTCAGTGAATAACTTGTTAGTAGCGTAGCTCGGCTTAACGCCCGGTAAATTCTAAAACAAAACCCAAATCATCGACGCACAATAATTCATACTAATTCGACTGGATAGTTCCGCTCTGTAGTCACTCAATAATCACTGTAGTCAGTAGACTGACACCGCTATTTATACACCTGGCGGAAAACATATATTCATAAGTCCAGAATGTCACGTTCGAAACTCTATGTCGCTCGTTATTCATTTTCTTCCTATATGACAGTAAACTACGCCACATTTTATTAAACAACGTAATATTTTCGAATGAAAATAAGTATTAAACAAAGAATGTTAAGAAAACATTTACGATATTTATATGATAATTATACCATGTGAATTTTAGTGTTATTTTATTAAAAATATTTTTAGAATTTTATTTGTTGTGATTATATTATACCACTTATGGGTTGGTCATCATATATTATATAAATGTATATTTCTATATATATATTTTCTTAATTTCAGATGAATGACCAATGACTTGAGTTGTAATAAAGATACAAATGCAAAAATAAACAAGATGTTATAATGTTCTTGATTGAAAGGAACAAAATTGGAAATTGAGAAAGCAACTTTGAACAAATATTACAGAACAAGAGATTGTAAACATTGGTAAGAATAAGGAACAAACCACTGGCCTTATGGAAATCACAAAAAAAATAATTGATTTGAGAAATCTTAAAATGGTAATAAGCAAGGAAATTGCAAGAAAATATTTGAAAATATTGTTATCTTAAGTGCATTCAGAGTGAAAAGATACAGAATATTAACAGCATCGGTAAAACATCAAAGCAACTAAATTACCCCTTTTATGGCAAAGAAACATGTAATTTGTGTGTAGAACTACATGAAAAAATATTTCCCATTAGTGCGTTTTACTGATAAACGTAAAGATACAATAGATGGACCCGATGGTTGGCCTTAAAGGTTGGATTATTCATGAAAATAAACAAACTACACGGCAGAATAATATCTAGGTAGATAGAAAAATGTTTTAGGTTACTATTGGAGACAGTAAAATAATAGGTAGCTTCAATGTTGATGATGGTACCAACGTAAATAGTGAGTATTGTAGTAAAACTTTTTGAATAGTTCAGGTCATGGAAAGGAAAGCCTTATACTAAAGAGTATATTGTTGCAAGGCCCATACCCTTTCATATTATGGAAAGCTAACTATTGTCCACTTTAGCCTAAAAATAGATTTTAAAGACACTAAATTAATGGAGAGACCCTCAGCCTCTCTAGATATGAATCCAATAGAAAACTTGTGGATCATCATTAAAAGAGATGAAATTGGCAAACAACGTTCCTATAAGCACAATCTTTGAAAGTAATTTAAACATAGAAAAGTAAGAATTATTGCATGAAAGGATCCGATATTAGCAGGTAAAAAAATACGATAATACTTTATTCTGGTAAGTTAGATATTGTGTTACTTATATGTTTGTGCGGTCTATATATTTTGGATGCATGTATTTTGCTTCTGTAAAAAAAACTTGTTACATTTTGGATGCATATATTTTGCTTCTATAAATAAAAAATTGTTACATTTTGGATGCATATATTTTGCTTCTTTAAATCAAAAATTGTTACATTTCGGATGCATATATTCTGCTTCTATAAAGAAAAAATTGTTACATTTTGGATGCATATATTTTTCTTCTATAAATAAAACCTTGTTATATTTTCGATGCATATATTTTGCTTCTATGAATAAAGAATTGTTACATTTTGGATGCATATATTTTGCTTCTATAAATAAAAGATTTTGTACATTTTAGATGCATATATTTTGCTTCTATAAATAAAAACATGTTACATTTTGGATGCATATATTTTGCTTCTATATATTAAAGATTTTGTACATTTTGGATGCATATATTTAGCTTCTATAAATAAAAAATTGTTACATTTTGGATGAATATATTCCGCTTCTGTAAAGAAAAAATGTTACAATTTCGATGCATATATTCGGCTTCTATATATAGAAAATGGTTACATTTCGGATGCATATATTTTGCTTCTATAAATAAAAACTTTTTACATTTTGGATGCATATATTTTGCTTCTATAAATAAAAACTTTTATATTTGGGATGCATATATTTTGTTTCTTTAAATAAAAACTTTTTAAATTTAGATGCATATATTTTGCTTCTATAAATAAAAAATTGTTACATTTTGGAGACATATACTTTGCTTCTATAAATGAAAACTTTTACATTTTTGATGCATATATTTTGCTTCTATAAGTAATAACTTTTACAATTTAGATGCATATATTTTGCTTCTTTAATTAAAAGCTAGTTACAGTTTGGATGTATATATTTTGCTTCTATGAATAAAAACTTGTTACTTTTTGGATGCATATATTTTGATTCTATAAATAAAAACATACATTTTTGGATGCATATATTTTTCTTCTATAATTAGAAACTTTTTACATTTGGATGCATATATTTTGCTTCTATAAATAAGAACTTTTACATTTTCGATGCATATATTTTGCTTCTATAAATGAAAACTTGTTACATTTTGGATGCATATATTTTGCTTCTATAAAGAAGAAATTGTTACAATTTTGAATGCATATATTTTGCTTCTACGTATAAAAACTTTTACAATTTAGATGCATATATTTTGCTTCTTTAAATAAAAACTTGTTACAATTTGGATGCATATATTTTGATTATATAAATAGGAACTTGTTGCATTTTTGGAGGCATATATTTTGCTTCTGTAAATGAAAACTTTTTACATTTTAGATGCATATATTTTGCTTCTATAAATAAAAACTTTTACATTTTGGATGCATATATTTTGCTTCTATAATTAGAAACTTTTTACATTTTAATGCATATATTTTGCTTCTATAAATAAAAACTTACTTTTTGGATGCATATATTTTTACTTCTATAAATAAAAACTTTTAAAATTTAGATGCATATATTTTACTTCTATAAATAGAAACTTCTTTCATTTTGGATGCTTATATTTTTATTCTTTAATTAAAAACTTTTAACATTTTTAAATGCATATATTTTGCTTCTATGAATAAAGAATTGTTACATTTTAAATGCATATATTTTGCTCCTTTAAATAAAAACTTGTTACATTTTGGATGCATATATTTTGCTTCTATAAATACAAACTTTTACAATTTAGATGCATATATTTTGTCCTATAAATAGAAACTTTTTCATTTTGGATGCATATATTTTTATCCTTTAATTAAAAACTTGTAACATTTTTGGATGCATATATTTTGCTTCTATGAATAAAGAATTGTTACATTTTATATGCATATATTTTGCTTCTATAAATAAAAACTTTTTACATTTTGGATGCATATATTTTGCTTCTATAAAGAAAAAATTGTTGCAATTTCGATGCATATATTCGGCTTCTATAAATAGAAAATGGTTACATTTCGGATGCATATATTTTGCTTCTATAAATAAAAACTTTTACATTTTGAATGCATATATTTTGCTTCCATACATGAAACCTTTTACAATTTAGATGCATATATTTTGCTTCTATAAATAGAAACTTCTTAAATTTTGGATGCATATATTTTGCT